ACTTTCCACCTCGACATCCACGGCATCCACAACACCTAGGGCAATTAGGGCATCCACCGGGACAGCCAGGACAACCACTGTTTGCTGCAGCTGGTTCTGGAACTGGACCTGCGATAGCTGAAAATAAAGCAACAAGATACCTCATTAACTTATGTATTTATTTATTCATTTATTTATTTAATTATTTATTTATTCATTCTTTCTGACTACCTTCCAACCGTCCTCCCTTCCTTCCTCCCTTCAATTCTGCATTCGTCCACCATCCCATTAGCCGGCCGACTAAGAATATCACTTGCCTCGAATGCATGTCATTGTGCCATCAAGTGACTGCTTCACTCACTCACTCACTCACTGACTAACTGACTGACTGACTGACTGACTGTCTGACTGGATGCGTGATTGAGTGAGTGAGTGAGTGAGTGAGTGACTGAGTCAATGAGTAATGAAGTGGCTTCTCACCCGCTTCCCAGAAATCAGTGTCACTCACTTCCAGCCTACCTCCTTATTCGCCAGCCTGTGTCATTGTGTGATGAGTGAATTGAAAAACCCAGTCGGCTACTTTGGATGCTGCAATCACCCTCACTTTCTCTCTCCCAATCATCTATCTGGTTGTTGTCGTTATACAAAAATTTATCAGCAATATCAGTAACAATTGCAATAGTGAGTGAAATTAGCACCAGTTGTATGAGTAGCATTCATACTGGAATTCCTTCATGTTGTTGTCGAGGTAGTATTGTCATATTATTACTGATATCATTGTTAGTAGCAGTGGGGATAGCAGTATTAGTGGTGGTAGCATTATTAGTCTCAGTAATTGTCGTGTCAGTGGTGGTGTTAGTAGCAATAGTCGACAAATCTGTGCATTAGAAGAGTGTTGGAATAGGTGCACGCATAGATGGAGGCGAGCAGGTGATTTGTCTGATCAACTATCTGACATGTGGACACGAAAGAGATAATGATGACTTACCTCCCATTTCACATTCAAATGATACAACCAGGACAACTAAGACGAGCTGAAATGAAAGAAATGACCATCATAGAGGCATACAATATTAGACAAGAGTATTCGGACATACAGCGAACATCTGCATTGTTGTTGTTGTTGTTGTTGTTGTTTACTGTCAACTGGAAACTAATGCCTCAAACTTACTCCCACCTTCCTATTTATACTCGAAGTTCACCTGTGAAGCAAGTGAACACGTGGTCACACTCAAACACAGGTGAGTGACCTACCCTACCTACCAACCAACCGATATAATCAATGAACACGAGGAATGTGAGTTTCATTCACTTATTCGCTCTTCCCCGTCATTCGACTAACTCATGAAGGCTTCACTGATCGATTGATTGATTGATTGATTGACTGATTGATTGGTTGATTGATTGTTGATTTATTGCGACTGACTGACTGGTTGGTTGATTGTCATCTCGGTTGGTTAGTTGGCCAGTTGTTTGTTTAGTTTGTTGGCTGTGCTGTTTTGTGCGTGGATGATTGACTCTTCCTTATACACATCCACTCTGTGATGAGTAAATAATCTTCGTACTTGGGACTCAGTGTGTCGGTGAATCAGTTCGACTGAATGTTGGCTTCTGTGCCCACTGCTTCTTCCTTCCCTCCTTCCTCTTCCTTTCTTCCTTTCTTCCTTCCTTCCTTCGTCCGGTCATTCGTTCGTCGGTGACTTCGTGAGATCAAATGTGTGTGTCAGTTGTTTGGTTAGTTAGTCAGTTAGTCGGTTGGTTTGTTACTCCATAATAAATAGGTTTATTTTGACAATAATCACACAGTAATGCAGTATTACCAACTGGATTTGTGTTGTTAATACTACGACATCATTGTGTGAATAATAAAATAAAATAAAATAATCTTATATGGAATTGGATTGTACCAGAGTGGCCAAGTTCTACACTTAAATTATTTAATTAGTTTGTAAGTTAGTTGGTTAGTTAGTCAGTTAGCTAGTGAGTGAGTGAGTGAGTTGATCAGTTATTCAGTTGGTCAGATATTCAGTCAGACAGTTAGTGAGCCATTTATTTACAAAGTAAGCTAGTTATTCAGTCACTTGTTTATTCAGTATTTTCAACAACTGCCCAGTCAGTTAGTTAGTTAGTTAGTTAGTTAGTTAGTTAGTTGGTTAGTCAGTTAGTAAGAGAGTGAGTTGATTAGTTAGTTATTTGTTTGATGCATCGCCACGTATTTCTGCTCGTCTTGACTACTGCTTCGAATCGACCGATATGAATGTTGCTGGAAATTTATATTTCCTAATGAATCAGGGATTGGGTGACGTGATATAACGAGATGTGATGTGATGTGATTTGATGTGGTCTGGCGTGGCGTGATAGGATGTGATGGCTGTGTAGCCATGTCGTGTAGTCGGAATGATTCTAGGAGAGCTGGTGAATTCGAAGATTGGCAGCTCATCGATTGTTAGGTCATGATGAAGAGGATGAAGATGATGTTGATTATGGTGGTGGTGACAAGAACGAATGTGATGATGTTTACAATGCAAGAAAGCAAGCATCGCTCGCTCGCTCGCTATACTTAGGTAACTTGATTCATCTTTATGGTGATAATAATGATACTGATAGTCCACAAAATTATTTTCCATTTTCCCGTTATAATCATTTTTATAATCGTACTGTTATTTTTCAATTGGATTTTAGATTTTCCCGTCTCACAAGAGGTGGCCGGGTCTCGTGGCCCGAGTGGTCTAGGGGATAACGCTTTGTCGTATGAAACCATGGGCACTGGGTTCGAGCCGCGATGGGAACATCATCACTCCTCACTGGGGAATGCAGGTACATCCAGCTGGCGGACGACTCCCAAATAGGACGAAATTCGCGTTATCCTCGATTCCACTGGGAGTCACCATCCAACAATAAAATTCTATGTACTGTCATTTTTTTCTTCTTCATCACTATTATTTATTGACAGTGGCCTGACTTACTTATTTTATTTCATTTGTATCGTCAGTCATTAATATTGACTGTTGCTAAAATTATCCTGGTTGTCATTAATAATACATACACTGGACTACTTCACTTCTTTGAATTCCATCCATTAGGAAATTCACTCATACTTGCACACACTGTGGTGGCGGTGTGATAGAGACGACAATGTGTGCGCCAATAGAATGTTATTCTCATATCTTCTCACAGTTCACCTCGGAAAAACAAAAACAGAATACCATATATCTATCCATTTGAACATTCTGTGTGATGATGTTAGAGTAGAGTAGAGTGACAATGCTATTCCCACAGTTCAACAACACTGCATTAGAAAAAACAGAATACTATGTGTGTGTGTGTGTGTGTATTTGAACATTCTATTTCATGTTGTTTGATGTGAACCGAAATCACACGCTCCTCAGTCAGTTAACGAATTGATTGGTTGACGAATACAAACTGTAGATCTATGAACGAAAGCGTTTTGACCAATGAAAAATATACCTTGACTCCCGTGTCTTGCTTTCTCTTCTTGCAATACTACTATCAAAGGCATTATCCTAATTATTATTGGTAATTAATTAGATTGACAATATTATTATGACTGCTATTATTATTATTATTATTATTATTATTATTATTATTTTATTATTCTTAGTTGGACTATGCTCATCACAGGTATTGTGACTGGTGTCGTTAGTAATTTCATAGGAATTCTCGGGAATTATCAAGAGGCTGCTGCTGGTAATTCTAATCAGCCTGTCAATATGGCGACAGTGTCAGTGGAGTTTTTTTGTCAGTAAGATGCTGTTGCTGGTGCTGCTGCTGCTGCTGATGATGCTGATGATGATGATGACGACGATTCAAGGAGATCTCAATCGCGATGACAGACAAACAACAGAATGTGTGGCCCAGCTAGCCAGTTTCGGGTTGACACGAAAGAAATCCAGTGTGACGAGATGTTGTAGGTGGGGTGATTCAAGTGAGATAAAATAATTGGTGGTTGTCTGGATTTCACGCGACTGTCCTTGTTGCATAGCTGTCTGTCTGATACTGGTTCGTGGACATGAGTCTTGCAATGTGTGTGTTTGTGTATGTCTGTGTTTGTTTGCAGTGTATGTGAACGTGAAGGAAGGCGACTAACTCTTGGGCAGTGTGAGCGTGAGTGTGTTTGCGCTTGTATGTTTGTTCGTGAGTGTGGTGTTCGTGCTGTCTGGCTGTATGTCAGTCAGTCCTTCTATATGTAGTCTATCCGTTTGTCTGTGTATGCTGGTCACACATTCATTCTACTTCAACGACTGATTTCATGATAATTTGACTATATAGAATTTGCGATCGTGAGTGAGAAAGCTTGTTTGTTTGATTGTATGTTGTTGTTGTTGTTGTTGTTGTCGAGTTGAAGGCTGGTTCACTGAGAGACCGAATGAGTAAGTGACTCACTGCATAACTAACTAAGTAATTGTGCCACTCAGTTAAATTACGTTAACCAAACCGAGAGAGTGAGTGCTTCACTATCTGAACAACTAGACAGCTACCTAGCTGGCTGGCTGGCTGGCTGGCTGGCTGGCTGATTGGCTGGTTGGCTAGCTCAGCTAATTATTGCGCAGTCGACTCTCTGCAATCGACTCTACACTAAACTACTGACTACTCATTCACTCGCTTATTCTTCATTAACGAAAGGACTAACAAGCTGACAGATTGAAAGGCGGGGAAATTTCAACAAGATGGCTGCATGCGAGTTTCCGTCAGTGGGAGAGTTGACCTGTCGGCGTCGACACGACCACCAACAATTCCGAGAACACCGACACACCCACCGACTGATTATTTATTCATCGAGTAGGAGGAAGAAGAAGACGTCTCAAATGTGAGATGATTGAGATAAATCGAGTGTATTTATTTATTTATTTATTTATCAATAATTTAGTATGGAGAGTGGAGATTTGAAAGTACACTGGATTGGTCGTCCGCCGACTTGAAATAATCATGATGACAAGAATTTGTTCAGGTAGGACAGAAGACTTGTTTGTATGAATGAAGTGCTTTTTGGTGTTGGTGGTTTATTGTCTTCGACAGCCTCTGCAGCAGCCTCCTGGACACTTTCCACCTCGACATCCACGGCATCCACAACACCTAGGGCAATTAGGGCATCCACCGGGACAGCCAGGACAACCACTGTTTGCTGCAGCTGGTTCTGGAACTGGACCTGCGATAGCTGAAAATAAAGCAACAAGATACCTCATTAACTTATGTATTTACTTATTTACTTATTTATTTATTCATTTATTTATTTAATTATTTATTTATTCATTCTTTCTGACTACCTTCCAACCGTCCTCCCTTCCTTCCTCCCTTCAATTCTGCATTCGTCCACCATCCCATTAGCCGGCCGACTAAGAATATCACTTGCCTCGAATGCATGTCATTGTGCCATCAAGTGACTGCTTCACTCACTCACTCACTGACTAACTCACTCACTGAATACCCGACTGACTGACTGACTGACTGTCTGACTGGATGCGTGATTGAGTGAGTGAGTGAGTGAGTGAGTGGATGACTGAGTCAATGAGTAATGAAGTGGCTTCTCACCCGCTTCCCAGAAATCAGTGTCACTCACTTCCAGCCTACCTCCTTATTCGCCAGCCTGTGTCATTGTGTGATGAGTGAATTGAAAAACCCAGTCGGCTACTTTGGATGCTGCAATCACCCTCACTTTCTCTCTCCCAATCATCTATCTGGTTGTTGTCGTTATACAAAAATTTATCAGCAATATCAGTAACAATTGCAATAGTGAGTGAAATTAGCACCAGTTGTATGAGTAGCATTCATACTGGAATTCCTTCATGTTGTTGTCGAGGTAGTATTGTCATATTATTACTGATATCATTGTTAGTAGCAGTGGGGATAGCAGTATTAGTGGTGGTAGCATTATTAGTCTCAGTAATTGTCGTGTCAGTGGTGGTGTTAGTAGCAATAGTCGACAAATCTGTGCATTAGAAGAGTGTTGGAATAGGTGCACGCATAGATGGAGGCGAGCAGGTGATTTGTCTGATCAACTATCTGACATGTGGACACGAAAGAGATAATGATGACTTACCTCCCATTTCACATTCAAATGATACAACCAGGACAACTAAGACGAGCTGAAATGAAAGAAATGACCATCATAGAGGCATACAATATTAGACAAGAGTATTCGGACATACAGCGAACATCTGCATTGTTGTTGTTGTTGTTCTTGTTGTTGTTTACTGTCAACTGGAAACTAATGCCTCAAACTTACTCCCACCTTCCTATTTATACTCGAAGTTCACCTGTGAAGCAAGTGAACACGTGGTCACACTCAAACACAGGTGAGTGACCTACCCTACCTACCAACCAACCGATATAATCAATGAACACGAGGAATGTGAGTTTCATTCACTTATTCGCTCTTCCCCGTCATTCGACTAACTCATGAAGGCTTCACTGATCGATTGATTGATTGATTGATTGTTGACTGATTGATTGCGACTGGTTGACTGGTTGGTTGATTGTCATCTCGGTTGGTTAGTTGGCCAGTTGTTTGTTTAGTTTGTTGGCTGTGCTGTTTTGTGCGTGGATGATTGACTCTTCCTTATACACATCCACTCTGTGATGAGTAAATAATCTTCGTACTTGGGACTCAGTGTGTCGGTGAATCAGTTCGACTGAATGTTGGCTTCTGTGCCCACTGCTTCTTCCTTCCCTCCTTCCTTCCTTCCTTCTTCCTTTCTTCCTTCCTTCCTTCGTCCGGTCATTCGTTCGTCGGTGACTTCGTGAGATCAAATGTGTGTGTCAGTTGTTTGGTTAGTTAGTCAGTTAGTCGGTTGGTTTGTTACTCCATAATAAATAGGTTTATTTTGACAATAATCACACAGTAATGCAGTATTACCAACTGGATTTGTGTTGTTAATACTACGACATCATTGTGTGAATAATAAAATAAAATAAAATAAAATAATCTTATATGGAATTGGATTGTACCAGAGTGGCCAAGTTCTACACTTAAATTATTTAATTAGTTTGTAAGTTAGTTGGTTAGTTAGTCAGTTAGCTAGCTAGCTACTAGCTAGTCAATTCGTGAGTGAATGAGTGAGTGAGTGAGTTGATCAGTTATTCAGTTGGTCAGATATTCAGTCAGACAGTTAGTGAGCCATTTATTTACAAAGTAAGCTAGTTATTCAGTCACTTGTTTATTCAGTATTTTCAACAACTGCCCAGTCAGTTAGTAGTTAGTTAGTTAGTTAGTTAGTTGGTTAGTCAGTTAGTAAGAGAGTGAGTTGATTAGTTAGTTATTTGTTTGATGCATCGCCACGTATTTCTGCTCGTCTTGACTACTGCTTCGAATCGACCGATATGAATGTTGCTGGAAATTTATATTTCCTAATGAATCAGGGATTGGGTGACGTGATATAACGAGATGTGATGTGATGTGATTTGATGTGGTCTGGCGTGGCGTGATAGGATGTGATGGCTGTGTAGCCATGTCGTGTAGTCGGAATGATTCTAGGAGAGCTGGTGAATTCGAAGATTGGCAGCTCATCGATTGTTAGGTCATGATGAAGAGGATGAAGATGATGTTGATTATGGTGGTGGTGACAAGAACGAATGTGATGATGTTTACAATGCAAGAAAGCAAGCAAGCAAGCACTGATCGCTCGCTCGCTCGCTATACTTAGGTAACTTGATTCATCTTTATGGTGATAATAATGATACTGATAGTCCACAAAATTATTTTCCATTTTCCCGTTATAATCATTTTTATAATCGTACTGTTATTTTTCAATTGGATTTTAGATTTTCCCGTCTCACAAGAGGTGGCCGGGTCTCGTGGCCCGAGTGGTCTAGGGGATAACGCTTTGTCGTATGAAACCATGGGCACTGGGTTCGAGCCGCGATGGGAACATCATCACTCCTCACTGGGGAATGCAGGTACATCCAGCTGGCGGACGACTCCCAAATAGGACGAAATTCGCGTTATCCTCGATTCCACTGGGAGTCACCATCCAACAATAAAATTCTATGTACTGTCATTTTTTTCTTCTTCATCACTATTATTTATTGACAGTGGCCTGACTTACTTATTTTATTTCATTTGTATCGTCAGTCATTAATATTGACTGTTGCTAAAATTATCCTGGTTGTCATTAATAATACATACACTGGACTACTTCACTTCTTTGAATTCCATCCATTAGGAAATTCACTCATACTTGCACACACTGTGGTGGCGGTGTGATAGAGACGACAATGTGTGCGCCAATAGAATGTTATTCTCATATCTTCTCACAGTTCACCTCGGAAAAACAAAAACAGAATACCATATATCTATCCATTTGAACATTCTGTGTGATGATGTTAGAGTAGAGTAGAGTGACAATGCTATTCCCACAGTTCAACAACACTGCATTAGAAAAAACAGAATACTATGTGTGTGTGTGTGTGTGTATTTGAACATTCTATTTCATGTTGTTTGATGTGAACCGAAATCACACGCTCCTCAGTCAGTTAACGAATTGATTGGTTGACGAATACAAACTGTAGATCTATGAACGAAAGCGTTTTGACCAATGAAAAATATACCTTGACTCCCGTGTCTTGCTTTCTCTTCTTGCAATACTACTATCAAAGGCATTATCCTAATTATTATTGGTAATTAATTAGATTGACAATATTATTATGACTGCTATTATTATTATTATTATTCTTACATTTATTATTATTATTATTCTTAGTTGGACTATGCTCATCACAGGTATTGTGACTGGTGTCGTTAGTAATTTCATAGGAATTCTCGGGAATTATCAAGAGGCTGCTGCTGGTAATTCTAATCAGCCTGTCAATATGGCGACAGTGTCAGTGGAGTTTTTTTGTCAGTAAGATGCTGTTGCTGTTGCTGGTGCTTCTGCTGCTGCTGCTGCTGCTGATGATGATGATGATGATGATGACGACGATTCAAGGAGATCTCAATCGCGATGACAGACAAACAACAGAATGTGTGGCCCAGCTAGCCAGTTTCGGGTTGACACGAAAGAAATCCAGTGTGACGAGATGTTGTAGGTGGGGTGATTCAAGTGAGATAAAATAATTGGTGGTTGTCTGGATTTCACGCGACTGTCCTTGTTGCATAGCTGTCTGTCTGATACTGGTTCGTGGACATGAGTCTTGCAATGTGTGTGTTTGTGTATGTCTGTGTTTGTTTGCAGTGTATGTGAACGTGAAGGAAGGCGACTAACTCTTGGGCAGTGTGAGCGTGAGTGTGTTTGCGCTTGTATGTTTGTTCGTGAGTGTGGTGTTCGTGCTGTCTGGCTGTATGTCAGTCAGTCCTTCTATATGTAGTCTATCCGTTTGTCTGTGTATGCTGGTCACACATTCATTCTACTTCAACGACTGATTTCATGATAATTTGACTATATAGAATTTGCGATCGTGAGTGAGAAAGCTTGTTTGTTTGATTGTATGTTGTTGTTGTTGTTGTTGTTGTCGAGTTGAAGGCTGGTTCACTGAGAGACCGAATGAGTAAGTGACTCACTGCATAACTAACTAAGTAATTGTGCCACTCAGTTAAATTACGTTAACCAAACCGAGAGAGTGAGTGCTTCACTATCTGAACAACTAGACAGCTACCTAGCTGGCTGGCTGGCTGGCTGGCTGGCTGGCTGGCTGGCTAGCTCAGCTAATTATTGCGCAGTCGACTCTCTGCAATCGACTCTACACTAAACTACTGACTACTCATTCACTCGCTTATTCTTCATTAACGAAAGGACTAACAAGCTGACAGATTGAAAGGCGGGGAAATTTCAACAAGATGGCTGCATGCGAGTTTCCGTCAGTGGGAGAGTTGACCTGTCGGCGTCGACACGACCACCAACAATTCCGAGAACACCGACACACCCACCGACTGATTATTTATTCATCGAGTAGGAGGAAGAAGAAGACGTCTCAAATGTGAGATGATTGAGATAAATCGAGTGTATTTATTTATTATATGCAGGTTTTATAGAAATTTACTAGTAATTTTGCTCACAGTGACGTATACACTCATTATTAACAGACACATATTAACTAGGTTGTATTAGATATCTTTGTCACCACCAGTACAATCTTTTCAGAATTATTTGGAAGGCTAGTTTTTCCACCAATGTGTCCTCTCTCTTTTCGTGAGAATTTGACTTAACATTTGAAAACTGATATGTTCACTAAGTGGTTAGAAAGAACGTGTTAATTAATAAGCAAATTATGATGACACGTTTTCGGATCGTCAATATGTTGTACTCAGTTCGATGATAAATATGGCAGTGCAGTCTCTTGCTCAACGTTTTAAATATCATTCAACACTTCTTGTTTTTTAGCTAATTTTAAAGTGCTGGAAATGGCAGCAGTCAGGACAACTCATGAATACAGAGATACTTTAAGTGAGTACATATATTCATCAATTATAAATCAAAGTACAATAAAGCTATGGCAAGCCTATTACGATTCACCATTTGACGAACGTGGTGATAATCATGTGTGAAAAGTAGACGCGTTTAATTAGTCATCAAAACACAGACGTCTGACGAACATAACTTTTCACAACTTTTCCATAATATTCACTCAGTTGTACAAATGACGTGGAGCCAAGATCTACTTCCACCTTGCTTTACATTGAAAAGTAGACAGAAGAGTAGACCAGGTGAAGATGATGTTGACTGTAGAAGTGGACTAGTTAATACTGTGAAAGAATTTAATTCAATGTGAGATTTGTTCAGTGAATATAACACATATTGTCACAGTATTTATAAATGGATGACGTTTCTAGGGCAACTGTTCTCTCATATTCATATCACATGATTGTTTCATTGTTACTTAGATTTTTTCCGGAATCCCAAGAATAGAAGATATACAAGTGGTGAGCAAACATTTTTTTCCTGCTCGAAGTTAAAAATGCATTCATCATCAAGCCTTATGCAATTCATATTTGATTGAAAATAATGACACTTCTTCGAGAAGAAACTTCATAACTTCATGTTTACCAGAGAATGACATCGTCATAATTGGATCAAGATGACTAGCTCAGTGACACAAAAAACGAAATTTTTGATCGTCAACAAGCCATCATTCAATGAACAAATATCAACACACATGACATTTTGAATTCACAGCTACGTGATCTTGGATATCTCTAGTTTGGAGATCATGAGAAGGTAAAGAG